GGGTGGGGGGTGGGGGGAAAGCTCCTCTTGCCACAGCAACCTCAGTGCTCCTGAGGCCTAGGCCTGGGTTTCAGGGTAGAGAAGAACATAAGCAAAGACAGAGAGGTACAAAAGTTGGGAAAATGCGAAGTAATCCTACAAGTGCCACAATCTCAAAACAAAACTCAGGAGCTGGGAGTGAAATTCTCCTGGGCTGTGTTGGAGAGAGCACACTGGCTTCCTGCTGGGCCCATCTGAAACAAAAGGCCCCATTGACACAAACATCTGCTACTACTAAACACTTAGGAATCAATATTTTCCTAAAGAGTTTTTTCCCTTTGGCTTTAAAGGGTTACTGTCTGCCAGGCTGCCAAACCCCAACCTTGTCCACATTCACAGCCACATAAAGTGACTATTAGAACTTCAAACGAAGAATGTCTCCCGGAAATGGCCTCATGCTAGTTTTTTCCTGAATAGAGACACCAGGAAACTGTCAGAAGGCAAATGGAAACTCACACCCTGAAAGACTTAAAACCCAACAATCAAATCCCAGGGAGGATGAGTAAACCAGCCAGATTTAATTTAAAAGGGAAACACAGCAGATTTAATGAGGCGGCCTGGAGGTGTCTGGGAGGACAGAGGAGGAGGGAGAGAGAACAAGGTGACAGGACCAGAGCAGGGCCAGGGTACTTTACCGTAACACCTGCATCTCCTCCGGGGAGTTCCGCGTCTCGTCTCGGAGGCGATACCAGCGCAGGTGGGCCCTCAGCTCCTGCTGCTCCTGGGCCTCGTGGGGGGCCAGCTGCTTGGGCCACAGACACACGAACACATGTGCACAAAGAACAGTCATTGTCATCCTCGTGCTGGGCCAGGGCTGCCCCCTGGACTAGGGCATGACCTAGCCTGCCCCCTGCTTTTACCTCAGTCTCCATCAGAAAGTCAGGGGGCACAGGACCCTCAAATAGAGTTTCTGAAAGCAAGGACCAACTGCACGCTCATGCTGGAGGATAGAGCAGGGTCTGCCTGTTTGGGCGGGATGCCATGGACCCAGAACCGTCTCTCCCAGAGCACACCCGGCCAGTGGAGAAAGGGCCATTTCCATTTTGATCCCATCCAGCCCTCCTTTGTCTTTCTGCACAGGGTGGGGAAGGCCCCTCGATTTTACTCCTATTTTTCCCAGCCCTCAGTTTTGGTAAGGACTGTTTACAGTGGAGCCTGCTAATGCAACCCAGATGATCCTGTTTGCATAGAACCAGAAAAAGCATCGCGCCGGGACACACTCTGGGGGAAAGGGAAACCTTCGCACTCCTCCCCACTGAGTCGGAATGGCTGCGATAGCACAGATGTGTTCACTGGGCCACGTGGCCATCGTCTCTGTGAGGGAGGGCGGCAGGACACACACTGGGGAGGGAAAATGCCTGGTATCTACAGGCACCTGCAGAAACCAAAGCTCCCTTCACATTCATTTCCTGAGTGTCAGCTAGACCCTGGAGACGCTGGAGAGAGAGGGTGAGAAACAGGTAAGACACTAACGCAAGTGCACAGGTAGGGCAAAGGTTAGGAGGAAGCCAGATGGCTGCTGCCAGAAGGCTTGGTCAGAAGGCTTTCCTAAGAGGGTGGTGGTTAGGGAAAGCAAGAATCAGCCAGGGAGGAGGGATTTGAGAAAGAGGAAGAGCTTCACAAGGCCCATGGAGCCTGGAAAGA